GTCCCGTATAAGACCTTCTGTCATTGCTGTCTCCGCCCCAATCAGCGTCACATGATATTTCTATATTAGTCCCACTTTTACTAAATAAAAGTCCATAATCAGATGTTCCAACCAAGTATCTCAATACTCGTTTTGCAGCTGTCCAGTGTGTTTTGTCGTAACAAGTGTTGTACTGACTTAATTTGCTACAAACATAAGCTATATCTGGACGAGTGCAGACCGCAAGATACATAATACCCCCAATTAACTCTTGGTATAAATCTTTTGTATCACAACTTAAAGCTTTCTCTAGCTTTGAGTTAACATCCATGGGTGTTGATATTTTATGGCAATTTTCCATTCCAAATCTTTTTAACAAGGTTTTTACATATTCACCTTGTGATAATTTTAAAAAGCCCTTATTCCTGTTTCTTTCGACTTTTAATCCTAAAACTTGTTTAACTGGGCCCAGAACCTATGTTAAGTATTGGACACTGAAACTTCTTCTGGAAAGATAAATTATTCTCCTTTTAAACGGAAAAGTTTATTGACATTACAAATTATATATTTTGACAAAAATATTCAAAATAATTTTTGTTTAAATACAGGGTGATTTTTTAACAAAAAAAATGTCGTTTTTTGAAAATATTAACAAAGAAATAGAGCTGGGTAACTTTAAGCCTGTATTTATGGATGAGACGTGGCTATATAGCAAAGGAAATGACAGATGGGACGATGACTACTGTAAATAAATAAACAGGAGATGGAATTCTATACATAATGAAGAAGGGTTTATAAAAAATGCAGATCTTATATTTAAAAGTCAAACAAATAGCGGGGATTGCCATAATAATGTGAACACAGAAAATTTTGAAAAATGGTTTAAGACGAAATTTATACCTAGCCTGGAACATCCTTCTTTGATTATAATCAATAATGCCAGTTATCATTTGCGGTATGTGGAACCATTTACATGTTATAGTTGGATAAGAGATAAAATAGTAAAATGATTGCAGGAAAAGAACATTAATTATCCAATCAATGGTATGAAATATCAGATTTGGGAAGTTGTACGTCAAAATCTACCACGAAAAGAATTCTACCTAGATAGATTTGTTGAGAAATATGGGCATACAATATTAAGATCTTTTCCAAAATTATTATTAATTTAGATACAACGGCAAGTAATGATGAGTCTCAATCAGAGTTCCAGTTGTGAAGAAAATCATATTGATTAAAAAAATTTATATTAGTTATCCAATAAATATTTTCTGTGCCTCTTGTTTTATTTTTTTAAGAAAGAATCTGTTTCAAGAATTTGCACCCGTTTTGGATTATCTTTAAAAACTCTAAAAACGCTAAAAACCAATGTTCAGCTGGGAAATTTATTTATAAAATACGAAAGTAACTTGTAGTATTTGTAGACAAAATGTAAAATGTAATCTTAATTTTTGTGTAAACACAACTTAATAAAGTTTACGCTGCTAAGCAACTGAAATAAGAAGAGGCGTGCAAACAAGGTGCAAACTGTAACTAAAAATACGATACCGTTTTGTCAGAGGACTTGGGGCATTTTTATCACTATACACATCCATTCATTTTTGCTATTTTTGTGCCTATTATGTTTTTTGTTCCAAAAATATTCACGTAAATTATAAAGAAACTTATTTAATTAACTAAGCATCGTAACAAAGCGCTTTGACAAATTTAACAAAACTGATGAATTGTCATTTTTAAAAGTCAAGTTAGGTTTACATTGGGAAAAATTGTGTACCAGTTTTATATGAAGCGAAGTGTACATACTAGCCAAACCATTGAGATAGAATAAAGAGGAGATGCTATGACGATGCTAAATTGTCCGAACCTTTGCATTAGATTTTTACGTCAATGTCAAACTCGAGATAGTGTAGCTAGTCAGTTTTGGTGAGAATAAATGCCATTATTTTTAAATAATTTAAATATATTTAATAAATGATATAAAACCATTTTCATGCCGTCAGTCTTCAAATATAAAATTATTGACTTCAAATAAATCAAAGTACGACTCAAGTCGCCATTTTCATTATACTTTTCCGCCACTTGAAATGCATCCATTTCGCAAAATAGTGGTTATGTCGTCTCTACTTTATTCTATCTCTATGACTAAGCCAAACACATTCGTGCGGCCCTGTTAGTTCGCTTTCGTTCGCCTAGTGAGTACTCTGCTTAATATTCATAAAAATGAGTTCCTATACGTCCACCAATAAAATACAGGGTGTCTCAATGAAAAGTAGCCCATCAATGAAAAGTAGCCCATTTCCAGAGCTTATAACTTTTAAACACCTAATCGCAGAAACGTGCGGTTTTCGCTGATATGTGTTATTTTGCTATAAGTTTTGCTTCAGTAACACAGAAATTATGTATTACCTATACAAGGTGTTTTTTTAAAAATCTCTTTTTTAAGCTCTGGAAACGGGCTACTTTTCATTGTATATCTAAATTATCAATGGGTGAGTATAGCAGTCAGATTTATATGCCAAGCTCGCACAATAATAATTACATAGGTATATTTTCTATCACAACCATACGATCCTCCTAATATTTTACCATTTTCACTAAAGTGGCAGTACCTTCAAAATATCAAAATGTGATAAAGATTTACGAGAGTACACAACTCCATATAATCCGTACCTCATCCTTTAAATAAAATTCTCCATTGCCTCATTACACTTGTTAGAAAACTGATGTTTTATTCGTGCATAGAGTAACTAATTGTAGTAAAATAAAATTTTGATCATTCACTTAAGTCGTTAATGTAGATTAAAAATATAATTGGCCCCGTTATAGTCTCTTGTGGAACACCGATTGTTACCGTTTTATAACAGTTACTAAGAATAATTTTGATATAACAAATTTTGTATCAATACTAACACGAAGGTCCTTTATTATAGGAAATTGTAATTTATTGTATCATGTTAATTCTGTATTGAAGATATAGTGGATGCGAATTTTTATAAAACAAGAAATTATAAAGCATTAGTCATAATAAACAAATAAAAAATTTAAATTGAAATCTAGATACTACCCTTTTTCAACTGTTAACATACCTATAATAAGTAGCAATACCTAGTCTACTTTTTAAACAATTAGTTTTTAAGTTACATTAGCATTTTCGATGTGAAAGTAAAGCACATTTCATCACACCAGCTGTCATATTCAACATACATGATCATCTACATAATTATTAGACTGATTAGGTTTTTTTTCAATTATTAATTTTAGTTTTTAAAAAATATAATATTAGAATAAATGTAACAAAATGGTTGTTCTTTTTAGGTACAATCCAGAACAGATCAGCTTTTTTCCATTTGTTACATTTATTTTTTGTAGATAGAAATATTCTCAAATTTTGCATGTGTTCTTTAAAAAAAGATGTATAGATCTTAATTCTGGTATAAACAAGAAAAAACAGTTTACTAAAACAAAACAAAAAAGTTAGATGATGCTAATAAATTTGGTTTAAAGATGTTTCAATCCATCTATCATTCGTAATTCTTTCCTTTGTAAGATTGTTTAAAATTTATAAAATTTAGTGGAAAATCTGTTAAGTTTTAAAACGGTTTTCTATAAATTAAACCTAAATCTATATTGATTAATTTTAGAAAGATTAATGAAATCAAAAATCTAAAAGGCTCAATTTCATAAAAGGGCATTTAAGATCAGCATATTTGCGGATGATCGTATAAATTGTAAGTCAGATCAACATTTTTCTAAAAATAGTAGTACATCTAGCAAGATTATGATAAATATTATTTGTAACATCATAATCAAAATTTAAAAGAAAAATGGTTTAAAAAGTTTAATTAATTAAGGATTTGACGATCGTAATATCGTAATATCAAATACCTATACAGTGTGTTATTAAATATCATGTACATATGGAAGGAGGTAATTTTTTTCTTATTTCGTCACAAAAAATCATACAAACAGATCCGCAAATGCTTCATTGCCGATCTACAAGATGTTTATTTTTGTTTGTATTTTTCTTATAGCTTCTATAGTTTCCTTAATATGGTTATTATTTAGGCTTTTTGTATTGTAATAAATGAATTATACAAAAACTGAGTCATTCCAGCTTTAATTTTTAACAAGTAATGACGAATAAACTAAAAGACCAAAAAGTTTCTACAAAATAGCAAGTTTAGGGGAAGAAAAGGGGAAAAACCCGTAAAAAATATCATCCTGTAAAGTCTCGCAACTATTCAGTATGCCAAAGATGTAAGCCCTACAGCGCAACCTAGATTTTAAATGTGAACTAAGTATATCAAAAAATGCAAGAACCAAAAACCAAATTTCAAAAAATCTTGAAATTGCAACGGTAACGAACCGTTTGGCGACCTATGTTTATATGACATTTTAGTCTTGAAATAGCCCGCATGCATGTACATGATATCTAAAAACTCCCTGCTTAAAAAATATAGATTTGTCTTGCAGCATTGTTATAAACTCATAAAATTTAGATTAACTTACTCTTAATGAAAAAAATATTTATTTCTGTTAACCAAAAATTCATTATTTTCAATAAAATTTGTTTTAATGGAGTGAATGGCTTAGTGGTTAGAGTCTGGACTTGCGAATCGAAGGGTCCGAGGTTAGAATCCCACCGATGGCCGGAATTTTGTATTTAAATTATTTATTTAAAAATAATTCTGATGCATAGGTAGGATTTCCCACTCCTACCATTCACTGTTGAATTCTAATTAAGATATTCCTAAAGTGGCGCTGGGAAACATTAACAATGTATATAGGGGTGCAAGAGTATTAGTGTACTAGTACTCCTGCACTATGTAGTATTGAATACTTGTACTCCATAACTCACATAGAACTCGAGGCTTATGGCCTAAGTTATCAAAATCGAAGACACCAATGATTGTTTTAAAAACTGTTTTTTTTTAATATCAGTTTAGTCATTGCCGAAATTTTAGAAATAAGCTTTTTTGGAAATTTTTATATTCATTTTTGTTTTTCTATTTTTGATATAGTTGTTCCGGATCAAACCTCTGCCAGTTTTAGTAAGTACCATAAAAAAATACTTTACTGGTGCCGGTGTTATGTGCTTTACTTTGTTCCTTTAGAGTAGGTAACATTTTAAGTAGTCTATAGCATGAGTTTTATCCAATCTACGGTATATAGTATATAGAAATTATTATTAATTGCCGGAAAAAGTTTGTGCATGATTTTTATCATCATCATCATCATCATCAAAAGAAATTATTGATATTTGTAAATTTAATTTTTGTTCACGAATTTATTTAATATTTACAAACTTGTACAAATTTGACATCCTCAATAAACTTTGTAAATGGTAATTTTATGAAATGGTTTGTAACATTTAGAATGGGACACAGAACAAATGAAGATTCTCTGATTAAAAATAAGACGATTAAATGAAATATGCTCACATAAAATATTACTGGTTTCCTAAATACAAGGTGTTAAAGTTGAACATTTAAAAATTATTAATGGCAATTTTTTTTTATTTCTCAGTATAATTTTTTTAAATTTGGTAACATTGTTGGTGTTATGAAATACACCTATCAGCAAAACAGTCGGCTAAATAAACTTCACCAGTGGCATACAACACGGATAAGTAACACTTTCATCCCCTTTAAATTTTACGGCACTGTCAGTAGTTGTGATTGGCCAGTTCTGGACGGGAGGTAATGAGAGGTAATAAGTAATTATCCTAAGTACCCACCCCCACCCTTCGCGCAATTAGCAAGTACCTCCCAATGGACGTAATTGCATAGTGTAATGAGTGTATTTACTTCATACATATATAGATGTAAATATTTACTATGTATATCGGGTAGCATGTAACGAGCATAGTAAGTACCTCTTAGATAGTAATTACTATGTATAGCATGTAGTGTAATGAGTTTAGTCTAAGTACGTCTCGGCGATTACTATTGTAGCATAGGGGACATATGTCGGGTCATACCAAAACACATCCTTGACTCTCAACCGTGAAGCGCAAGTCTCTAGCAGACACGCGCGACGTAAACATCGGTGGAAGGGATAGTACCACATTCTTCACAAAATTTACAAGCGCCTCTCAGGCTTCTATATTATGAATAGGGGAGGAAAACATAAGAGAGGTGAGGATTTTAGATGGGATATATAGGATCTTGGACACCAATGCTTTTTAAATGGAAAACGTGTAGTTCACTCTGGACAGTAGAGTGCTGGTGTGGACATTTAAGTGAAGATAGGACAAATATTGCTAATAATTTAAATGGGGGAAAGTTATTTGTTATAAGCTAAAGTCAACATTGGACAATGAAAATAAAATATATTTCGTTTTAAAATTATATTTTTAAAATAACAGTATTAAGTACTATATGTAATTAAAAGTAAAAAAATATTTACAATGACTCTACCACAGATGAATGAATTGATTGCTGGCTAACTAAATCGAACCTTATATGAGATCTAGTAGTTGAGTTATAACACGGTATTTCCCCTTAATAGACTCATGCATATTGCCCGGCAGCAGCATTAATTGTAGCAATGATTTCAGATAGCATTATTTCAAAAAAGCGTATTGGCAGCCAACACTGGAAAAGCTCAATTATAAGCCGATCAATTAAATGAATCAGTAAACATTTACCATACCTAGTATCTTTGACAAATATCGTCCTAATAATATAAAGTTGGCTTACAACTAATGACTTTAGATCCCGCTGATCCAATATTGTGGACCATTCGCCAACTAACTTATTTAGCGCTACTATATATCCTCTCTAAAAATACCCACCTCTACTATGATCCCCTACCCTATTCATAATATACAAGTCCGAGAGGCACTTGCTAATTGTGTGAAGAATGGGGTACTATCCCTTCCATCGATGTTTGCGTCGCGCTTGTCTGCTGGAGACTCGCGCTAGTCGCGCTTCACTCTAGCTCTGACGGTTGAGAGTCAATGATGTGTTTAGGTTTGCCCCGACGTGTTTTCACTATGCTACAATAGTAATCACCGATATGTACTTAGACTAAACTCATTACACTACATGATATACATAGTAATTACTATCTAAGAGGTACTTACTATGCTCGTTACACACTACCCGATATACATAGTAAATACTTATATCTATATGTGTATGAAGTAATTACATTTACTATGCAATTACACTCATTACACCGTGCAATTACGCAAAGGGTGAAGGTGGGTACTTAAGATAATTACTAATTACCTCTCATTACCTCCCGTCCAAAACTGGCCAATTACAACTACTTTGAATAGTGCCGTAAAATTTAGAAGGAATGAAGGTGTTACTTACCTATGCTGTACGCCACCTGGCAAAGTTTATTAAACTGATTTTTTTGCTGATTAGTGTGCCTTGACACCAAAAACGTTTGCTTAGTACAATTTTATAAAAAAAAATCAAAATTACATGATTAAAAAATACAATAAATTCATATCCACCTTTGAGTGTGAATATCTCAAAAACCAATCATTTTATGAGTTCCAAACAAGAGTACATAATTTATTTAAAAATCATCAAAAAATATAAAAGTTTAGTCCAAATAAGTTTTTGGACAGTGGCGTAAAATTTAGAGAGGATGAAAGTGTTACTTATCCGTGGTGTACTCTACTGGTAAAGTTTATTTAACTGATTGTTTTACTGATACGTGTATCTTATGACACCAACAATGTTTACCGAATTTAGTAAAATTATACTAAAAAATAAAAAAAATATAGCCATTAATAATTTTTGAATTTTCAACTTTAACACCCTATATTTCGGAAACCAGTAATATTTTATCCAAGCATGTTTCGTTTAATCGTCATATTTTTAATCAGAGAATATTCAGATGTTCAGTGTCCCATTCTTAATGTATATTATTCATAATATATCACATCGAACGTTTAAATTATAACCTTTAGAGCAACTAGAGTCCTTAAGGATCACATATTGGGTCGTATTTAGTTAGAGTTAGAAATCTCAATCTAGCCAGTCTTTCACCAAGTGTATATAACTTGTGGACATGGTTTGTCCCTTCTTCATCGGCCCTTTCATTGTCCAGAAATTCTTTGTTGCCTGTTAGCCAGGCTAGGCTCAGTTTATTTTGGCTACTTAGCTTTGTTAAGTTCTCCAGATAATCTGTCGCCAGTTGTAATATAGTTGGACTTGCATATCAAAGACTAATTTTGCTTGTTAGATATTAGATTGACAACAAAATATTTTAACGTAATTTTTTTTTAATTATTTCAATCTCCCATATCTTATTATGCTCCTTACGATTTTGAATCCAAGAAAAAGCTCTGGGGAAACATAAAGCTTACCGATATAAATATATTCACTAAATTGTTCCCAGTTGGACTATTATAAGAATATCCATTTAGTGTTACTGTTTTACAACCCATATTGTGAAACATAAAAGAAACCTTGACATAAACTTAATGCAGAATTGATGTTTTGGGAATCTTTGCTTTGGGGTCGGGGTAAAATTTAACAGGATAAAATTCATTGGCGTACCCACTTTTTTGATTTGATTGTGTTAATAACATTTTTTTTACTTGCAGATATTTGTTCGAGCGCAGTTTGATTATGATCCTTTAGAAGATGACCTCATCCCATGTGCCCAAGCTGGTATTGCCTTCAAAACTGGTGATATTCTCCAAGTAAGTTACTGAGTGTGTAGAAAACTGTATTTTGATATTAAATTTTTAAATTATTACACAAATTTATTTTAACATCACAGAAATTCAATCATATGATTTTGCTATTTCGAGAATCCTATATTCTAGAAAAGTGAACTAATGTCAGTTCATAAAAATAACCCCTTTTAATTAGTTGATGGCTGTCCTTGACCTCTTTTTGAAGCCTTAGGTCCAACTATATTAGACATTCAGAGATAACCACAAATAGATACTACCTACGTATTTTTTTACCATCTGTCTTTTGAAACATATTTAAAAGGAGCAAAACAATTATCTCGAACGGTTCGTCATATTTTTTTCATTTTAATAGATTGTATACTCCAAGAGAACGGTTTGGTTTCGATGTTTTCGATCATAGCTTTTCCCTTTGAGCTTGAATAAATGTGGGTGTTTTTCTAGTTTCCAAATTTGTTCTTTTTACTTTATGAAATAAACGGAATTGACGACATTTTTATTATGTATTTAATTTATTTACAATAAAACGTAATAGCTATTTATATAACCAGTTACGAAATGCCTTATTTTGTGTAACGAGTAAATAGTTGCGGAATGATCGGAGCGAGGTCCCAAAAAATGAACGAGTTACACAAAACGGCATTTTGTAACGTGTTACATACAAGATTTTTTCTAATTTTGACTTGAATACCTATTTATAAAATTGTGTATGGTTAAAAATGATTCACCATCATTCTTTTGTAAATACTTGATTACCCTACTACGTTTAATAAAAATAAGGGACATGTGCAGTGTTGTAGATCTGATTTTTGACATAACCCGCGGGAAAATTAAAAAAAATCTTTTTTTACCCCGTTATCCTTAAACGTCAAAATTTTACCCTCAACATTTCTGGGCAGTTTTCAATAACGGTCTTCAATTATTTAAAAAATGGATTTTTCGATTTTTCATTTTTTAATTTTTCAATTCTTCAATTTGTCGTTGTTTCGTTTTTTTGATTTTTCGATTTTTCGATTTTTCGATTTTTCGATTTTTCGATTTTTCGATTTTTCGATTTTTCGATTTTTTGATTTTTCGATTTTTCGATTTTTCGATTTTTCGATTTTTCGATTTTTCGATTTTTCGATTTTTCGATTTTTCGATTTTTCAATTTTTCGATTTTTCGATTTTTCGATTTTTCGATTTTTTGATTTTTCGATTTAAAAATCAAAAAGAGGCATTTTTATTTATTTTCATTTCGATACTGAGATTATGTCAGTATCTAAGGACAATCAACTTTTCGTAATCAATTGTTCTACTTTATGCACTTTATATGTTAAAATTAGAAAAAAATTATTTAAAACCTTTCTACTTTCTGGTATCTTCTATTTCAAATATTACTGGTTACATAGGTATAGGTACTTTTTTCTTCTCTTTTGATTTAATTTCCATTTTGCTACTTAAAATTTATATAATTTACACTGTGTTTTTGCTAGTATTTTTACAATTTACAACAGCTACTCCGGTTGCTCAATGTATTGTTTTTACCTAAAAAAACTGTAAAATGTATACGTGTATTTGATGTGCCAAAATTACAAGATATCGCCCAAAAGTGCTCGAATTTTCCGCAGCTTGAGCTAGTATGGATTTTACTACCCCCTACCAAGCCTTCGTACTGAACCAATAGGAATCAACCAGTAATCATCAGTACGACGCACAGTGGGGCACAAATCCACTTTTTAATGGTCAAAAATAATTTTAATGATATTTTGATTATAAATTAGGTTGAATACAACAAAATTACACATAGTTTACAATAAAAATGTATTTATTAGGCGCCGTTCATACTAAGGGTGTATAAGATAAACGGTATGTCGACAGACGACAGACAGACCGACGAAATGGGGAAACATGTGTTTTGTAATCTGGGGTCCCTGAAACGTGAAAATCTGAAATAATCTCGGAAGGTAATTATTTCACAATTACAATACTTCCCTTTTATAGAGGAAAGTAATAAAAAGGGAAAAGCCGATATTAAAAGATGAGGGCAATGCCATGTACATTCCCAAATTTTCCTTTACGCTTGTTTATTATAATAAAAAAATCTGTCTTGTGTGTTTTATTTTGATCTTAAAACTATGGTTAGGTATATTTTAAAAACAAAATTGTACCTACTTACCAAATTTTACCATTTAACAAACCTTTTCGAATTTGGTCATACCTACCTAATTTGCTTTTTATATAGATAAAATTAAATAATTTAATAATTAAAATATACAAGACTTATTTAGAAATAAATACAACTGTTAGAGTCAGCGAATTAGGATACCACATCTCGCCCGTTGCAGTAGAGAGAGAATGGCAACACTTCACTCGAATTTCGACCAGCAGAACGCAATAAAGTAATAGACATTATGCCTGTTAAAAACATTCTTTATTTTGTCCCTTAATTAATGACATTTCAAACATTGTTTACGTGATAATTAATAAAACGTTATAAAGCCATGTTAACACGTGTTTTGTGAAGTGGCTATACAGGGTGATAAATCATTTAAAAACAACAATTTTAATGTTAATTCTTTAACTTCTAACACAACAATATTTTCTGTGCTTTATTTAGCAATAAACGCGTTTATTTTTATTATTTTTACAAAATTATGTATAATTCTCATAAGAAGCCATGCATTTTTAATAACGCTAGCAACACCAGCGCCCATGCGGTGAATTGTAAAAGCTCAATTATTGTTCGTTTTTTGGGACCCTATTTCGAATATGCCGATTCGCCTCTTTATCTCTAGTCTTCATAAGCACATAAATATGCATTGCAATCTTTTTAGTTAGGCTTAGTCTTGGTCTGCCTTTTCTTAATCAAAATGGTCGAACTATACCAATACAATAGGAGAGACTGACCACCTCGCAGCTTGGTGAAAAAAAACGAATGCGCGCATATTTTGGTGACAGAAGTGTATTCTTTAATCGTAAAAAATCGCAATATTCATTAAAGCTTGTTTTCCGCCCTTCCAATCTCCCGTGCTATCTCTCTAATCAGTTTGTAGCTTATGTGCTAATAATTGAATGTACTACTACTTTACCATTTACTCACTCATTCAGCACCATTCATTCCACGTTGCAGATATGGTTAAATGCTAATCAGCCATTGTGGTATGGCTCATGGTGGAACGTCTAAACCGTTACCCATCCATGACGTGAGACCTCATTGCTTAAGTGTTGCGAGAACGTGGATGTACACTAATTTCGCGGCTAGCCTCTGCGGCTTTATCAAAGCTTATCTTATCAGAAAATTTCGCCATTCACTCAAATCACTAAAAAAAACTTTAACGGCGTTTAGAAATTCAAAGGCATGTAGTTTTTTGCGCATCAACACAACAATCAATGGGTGACTAGACTGGCTGGTCTCTTTTCTTTTAATAAATTAAAATGTTTATAATGTTTAACATTGTTATTTGTTTTGTGAACGTTGTTTCAGTATGTTAATGCCATATTAAAAGATATGACATAATGAGTGGTAATATTTTAATAATCACCAGATGGCGTTCCTGTAACGCGAGCTCTATGGAATGACCTATCAAAAAACTTTTTTATTTTAAACTTTATTTTATTCGAAAAATAGATGTTTCTTAAGCATGTTCAGTGGTGCCACTTTGACGAGAAAAAATTTGCCTTTCCTGCATACCGATATCTGCCACATTAGTCGAGTTTCTTTCCGTATCTTTCAATGTAAGAAGTTCCTTAGTTACTTTCTTATATGTGAACAGGGTGCGAAAACAATGTTATTGTGTGGAAAATTGAGTAAAAATTATTATACTGTTTATACGAAAGTAGAATTATCGAAAATATGGCAGGACCTTATTAATTGTTTGTTAGTTGTGTGTATAGTTCATTAAAACAATGTCATGTAATTTAAATCGTTTTTATAGCATACGAGATAACAATAATTAAATAAGAATAATAGTCTGCCTTATTTCCTGCAAAGGAATTGTTGTGGAAAAGGTCATTCAAAAAATAAGTATTAATTTGATGTTTTGAGGTTATGTTTACAGAAAAGTATTATTAAAAAATTATAATTATACGATATTTTACATAATTAATAAACACATTCCAAAGGTAAATAGTTTTTCTGTTACCATCCCTAAACAATCTCCAAGACGGAGGATCTACTAATTGTAGTAAATTGTTCTACTTAACGTTGTTGAAAAGTTACCTACCTAACAAAATTTCAATTTGTAATTCCTTAAATACCTATAGTATAAAAAAGTGACCTTGCAAAATTATTAAATGGGTTGATAAATAAAATACAATTTAAATGTTTGTTCGTAAATATATTTAATACAAATTTTTCTTACATACAAAAGTTACTTAAGGCTCTCTACACGTTCGCTGCTGATTGACGACAATTGTCGTCATTTGTTGATCGTCCTGTGTGCGCCCGACGACAATTGTCGTCATTGTGCAGTGCATCCTAAATCGCTTCTGCTGCCGTTAGCACGGCTCGCAACCACTTTTAATACCCGGTCAGCAGCGAACGTGTTAAATTACGATTTACAAATTAATTAAAATCTTACGTTTTTGGCATTATGTAAATTCATGAATGTGGAAAAGATTTATTCCAAGTTTAATAGTAATTTTAGTCCTTAAAAATGTTTGCATTCAAATAATTTAGCTCTTTCAAAAGTGCCCCCCAGATTGTGCTCAAAACTACATATAAAATCGTTGGATTTCCGTCACGATATCAATATAGTATAAATCTTATCTAGTGAGTATTACAGATCTGTGCCTGAAATTATTAAAATATAACATAAATTACCTCAAATACATCACTTAAAATTTTACTACTTTTTCTATAGTTTCAGTCACTTTATTACCTCTTCTTTTAGGTCCTTCATTTTAATTGATCCTTATTTATTCATTTATCAATTTTAATCATTATTTTCTTAAATATATTATTTAAAATGCCACAAAATTAAAAAACGCACATCTACCACATGAAAGTGACGTTTAATATTGACCTCACGTTTCAGTAGTGCCATCTGGCGATGACACTTCTCCTGTTACGCCCATTTCGGTTCCACTGACAGTTAACTTTTAACTATGGAGGGTAGAGGAAAGGAGAACAATCTCTGTATACAAAAAGTGTCCCTCAAAATGTATACAATTAAGATGGCGCTTCTGTGCCCAGGGGACGTCGACAGTCGATAATTCAGATCACTCAATGACATCAATGATGTATATAGTAATAAATATTGCTCAACTATAAAAAACTAAAAACTACACCGTGAAAAGTGACTGATCGTAGAAGAGTAAGTGTTCTGTGATCGTAGATAAATTTTGACAATACACGACAATAGTCAAATTTTATTGAAAAATAATAATATAAACAATAAATAATTCTTATATTAAAACGGCACGGAGGTCTCAATTTACTGCTTCCTGTCTGATTTAATTATGAATGAGCAATCTATATGACTATATAGCATTGGATTTTGTCCCCTGGCTACACGAGCGCCATCTTAATTGTATACATTTTGGTGGCCACTTTTTAATATAAAGATCCATATAAGACTGTCCTCCTTTTCTCTACCCTCCATACTTTTAACTAAACTTTTAACAAAAACAGCGTTGAATTTGACATACGATTTTACTGTTTTGTTTTTTTTTTTTTTTCAAGATATTGTTTGCAGGTCATAAAAAATTATTTAATGGCATGTAATTGTTTACTAAACGGTTATGTATTTGATGCATATTATCTACTTACTTTAGGAATACCTTTATTTATAAAAGTTCAAAAAGTATTTAATTAATTAATAAACAAGTCTATTGTCACTGTCAATTACTGTCAGTCGCTACGGTGCATAAAGAATTAAGGAATTATATGGAAGTAAATATCCCAAAAATATAAAAATCTAAATTCCTAGGTGGAAAATTTATTTTCGTAGGCAAAGAGCCAAATTTAATACTTCACAAGTAAATTCAGATTCCCAATTACAGTAAAAACAAATCCGGACACGGGTGACAATTTTTTCTTAATGAAAGGTCCCAGGCAGAAGAAAGTTTTTGTAATAAAGTTTATGTACCATAAAAACTTCCGTGTAACGCTGCAGGACTACATCACCATCCAAAACAATTTTCTTGATGGAACTTCAGAATTTCTCTAATTTAATTTAATTTTGTCGCGTTGTCTTTTGTTCTTTATTTTCTTTGAGGACAAGTTGTTTTTTTTAATAGTATTTGTTCTTGAGATGTTTAAAAGTGCAAAATTAAGTACTATTGCTGTTATTAATAAAATTTTAGAGTGATAAGTAGATATTATCAAACATTAATTTAAGGTTCATTAGCTGATTTGTGTAAAATACCAGTTATTCCTTAGATGAATATGTTATTACAGGTCATTTTGCTTTATTTTTGGTATAACGGTGTGTTATAATACTGCCTTCCTAAGCCAAAAAGCGGTATCTCAGTAGAAGCGAGTTTCGAAGAAAAAACATTATTTTCTAAAAGTTGTTTCCCGCGTTCCCTCGAGTCGAAAAAAATAATTTAAGTATGAAAAAAAGGTGGAGGTAAAGGAATTTTTTCTCTTTTGCCATAACAGTATATAGACACCTGCGACCAAAGTCCAGGGACGGATCTAATTAGTTGTACGTTACGCTTTAAATTAAGATCATTGTACTCGTATATTTTAAGTGGAATGTTATAATCTTAATAAAGTCTCTTCTATTTACTAGTAATTACCTACTTAGTTAATATAAGTGTTCTCGTACAGTTTTTACATTTATTACTTTTCGTCAGTATGTATTAATATTTGACAAAAATTAACATTTTCCACTATAGAATCTACATGTAAAATATTACATTTTCTTTGTAAATCACCCTGTATAGGTAAACAATAATGTAAACTGCCAAAGCAGACTTTGAACTGTTTAAATTTTACAATTTATGTGGATATTTAAATATCAATTTAATTGTTTTTACATACATACCGTCAGGGATTTCATTAATTCCATCACTTTCAAAAGGCCTCCAAAAAGCCATTGTTTTAACAATCAAAAATGCAAACAGTAATGGCAATACAACACTGGATAAACAAACACTGTCCACTATCACACAACACAGGGATGACACAGCCAAGCGTGGCGAAGAACCAATTAGAACATATGTTGAGCAAAATTACAGACTTACAATTGGATGTTGGAGTCCACGTTGACCGCCTATTCATACGGGCTGCTGCAAATAGAAATTTGAAAAAGGCTCGGTCCAGACAATAGGCGACGCTAAACTTAAGCTGTTTATCATTAATCGAACACCTTTCGATCTGGTCGTACAGCGATGCTAGACATAAAATATTTATGCGATACTATCTTCGAGCATATTTGCTGGAATGGTACTTTGCGCTAAACGTACACAGTTTAGTTTCAATGGTATTGAACGCGTTACTTTTTTGCAGTTTGACAACTGTGTTTTCTAAGTCTGAACCTCAGCGGTGTCTTTGTGAACTATATATAGATATATTAATAATACTGACATTTAATTGAGGAATAGTAAAATTTATCTGTGCCGCCGACTATATCCCTGGATTATTTTAAATTAGTTTTTATCTTTGAATATTATTTTTTAAATTATTGTGCCGTATATGGATATATAGCCAATTAGCTTGGTTATAATCACATACATCTAAGCCTTTTAGTAAATACAAGTGTAGTTGAGATATGTAAATATGTCTGAGATTTTCTTTAATGTTCTAAGTGAGATTTTGATTTTTTTTTTTTTGTTATCTCTTTCATCTTTTTTCAAACTATCCGATGCGTTAAAAACTAAAAAAAGAGATACCGCTTTTTGGATTAGGAGGGCAGAATAATAGTAATACAAAAAAAATCGTTATTAATGTATCTGTAGAACAAGTCAAAGAAAAATTATAATATAGATGGTAAATTGTGGTTTCTGTTACAGATAATTAGTAAAGACGATCACCATTGGTGGCAAGCGAGGAAAGATAACGCTGCTGGCAGCGCAGGCCTTATCCCATCTCCAGAACTACAAGAATGGAGGGCTGCATGCGCAGCCATGGAGAAAACAAAACAGGAACAAGGTACTCGTATATGTAAAGAACGAAACCATTTCTATCTATCATTTTATGTCGATAAACTTTTCTTCTTGTTCAATCTAAGTGTTTGTATGTAGGCACGCAATTTTATGCTGAAACATGTAGTAGAGTATACCAATTTTATCTTATAGCGCAACTCGAATTTTTTTGTCACGTTTACAGTAATACATTTTTTGCCATTTAATTAGTATTTTTTAAAAATTCAACATTTCATGTCTTTGGTCTTTCAAAGGTCTGTCTCCGCACAAGGTAACATCAAAAAAACATCATTAAAGTCAAAGCTCTCTCATGTAGATACAAACCTTGACCTCGACATGACTTTGAGGTAACGTTAAAATTAAGAGGCCAATGACTAATGTTTTACTTTTTTTTAAATACTGCTAAACTGCCAGAAAATTATGAGTACGCTACGATATTTATTTTGTGTTCTACTACAAAAAATCAACAAAACAAACTCAATACAAAATGTGGCAGTTGTTTTCTTTAAATCTAAACAAGTGGCATTTTACATTCCTCTTGACACGAAAATAAATTGTTACATTTTTTTCTTAAATTAAATCTATTTTAAATCATCATCTCTTTAAACATTGAATCTTTTCTACAATATTATAAACAAAAAATATTTAGTTTCTATGTAATGCCTGATGTGTGTCTAATGATAGTTTCGTTTTTCTGTTATTTACTGTTTTTAAAGTTTCTAATTAAGAAAAAAAATGCCTCCTAATCTGACAATGAGAGGAAATGCATTTTAGCATTCTTATATAATGTACAGCATGATATTTCTGCCAAATTTTAACTAAATAAATAGAATTATTTTTATTCCAATTAAATATTTCTGTTAAAATATGTATTTTTTCAATAAATGCACAAATCAGGGGTACTACAATAATAGTATATCTGGGATCCTACATATGTTCTCATCTTCAATGACAAACATAATCTTATTTTTCTGAATAAGCTAAATGTGAACGTCTTCAGCATTCAAATACTTTTTACACTAAAACTATAGTTTAATCGAATCTAAATAGATCATGTACTTTCAAGATCCGACTTTAAAAAATTAATATATTGATGTTGATGCAAGAACTGTTAAAATAATCGAAACGAGAATTTTGAAAACTACAATTTTATTATAATGTTCAATTATTTCCATTTCTCACATAAATTGAAACATAATTAAATTATTTTATATTTAAATTTTTTGGTGCTATTTTTTTAATATTGTATAAGCGAATCAAAACAAAAAATACTATAAGCGTCTCTGTTTCTACTAATTATATTATTTCTTAACGCAAACTATGTTATTTATTATGAAAACAGTCTACTGCCTGATTTTATCCTGATTCGCATTATATAATTCGAATGAGGCTATCTGTAACGTGTGGAAGGTGGTTACCCACACGGTACTTAGGCCTCATTAGGCCCATTATGCATCCTTCTGGGATGATAGGCACCTCCTAGCTCGTGAGCCAGCTTATAGATTTAATGTAGTTGACAACGTCGCCTAGAAGGTGCTTCTCTTATATCGGCTGGTGTTAGCCGATACTCGCTGAACACAAATCTTTTAATAAATGAGAGGGTCGATGGTCTCATCTTCTTGTTCGCACCCTCTGCAGGGTGCGGATTCTGACAGCTTCATGATATGGAGATGCTTTCGTACTTGGCAATGACCAGTCAGAATGCCTGTGACTAGGCGCAGATTCTGTCTAGTCATAGTCAAGTATTTGTTTGCTGCAGTGTTGTCAGGATAACTTAAGAGCTCTCTGCAGTTTCTTGTTTCATCCCATTTTTCCTTGAATTTCACAAGGGAATGTTCTTTAATTAGGTGTCACTACCGATTTTGTCAGGCCAATTGAAGGGCCAAGTCCAAAAAGTATTTGGTTGGCTGAATCAGCAAGACGGTTATCTTTCGATGTGACGTGACCTTTGATCCATCTTAAGGTGATAACATTTTTGATGGATACTTCGTCCAAAGCTTCGTGACATTCTAGTACCAACCCTGAGTAAATTCGTGGTCTGTTCAGGGTGAGTAGTGCTTATCTGCTATCTGTATAGATGAGCATGTTCCTTCCAGTGAATGAGGCTAAATTGGTGGTCTGATCGAGACTGAGGTCCCTGTGGCCAAACTCATAGCATAAATATAACGAGGATTTTATTTTGAAAAAAATATTGACAGTCGATTAGAGACGTTGAATTTTCACGTTAGAGGGACTTTTTCACATTACTACACTGGTCTAAGAACTATTTCATGTCGCGTTTTATTTAATGTTTGCAAATGGTATTTGGGCCCTTTACCTCTTAAGACTGTTCATGTAACAATATTGGATCCTTTTACTCACCCTTAAGCCTGCCTATGTAAAAATATTTGATCCCTTCATTCCTTAAACTTGATGCACACTTAAAAATATGTTGTTGTTTTCCTTAAGCTTGCCCATGTAAAAATATTTGAGCGTTTTACCTTTTAAGGTTGCCCATATATATATATATATATATATATATATATATATTATATATATATATATATATATAAACGCTTACACCTATAATAATATTTGGCCTATTTATAAGCCTGTCCATTTAAAAATAATTGGACCCTTTACCTATTGTCTGTTCAAGCCAAGCACAAATATTTGCTTCTTTGTCCTTTAAACTTGCATGTGTAAAAATATTTGGGATATTTAACTGTGAAGCTTTCCCATATAAAAATAATATTTAGGCCCTTTACGATTTTAATTCTAATATTAAATTCATATACGAGCTTCATTCTGGAATCCGATAAAGCTCGTCCAAAAATCATCATTACTTCATCATCCTGTTTGTTCTCCACAATTTTTTCTACTTAAAACAATTTTCACTTTCGTTTACAATAAATAAACAATCAAATAAAGGCCTTGAGAAGACGTTTATTTGACGTCTAATAATAGTAGTAATATACAATAAAATGTCTGTAGTTTCAGAGATGACATACCTGTCAATCTATTAAAATCGTGACAACCAAAACCCATGTCGTATTGCATAAAATAAGCTCCATAAGAAACGCTTTCCATTATAAAAACACTGATATTTAGAGCCCAAAAGTTAAATCGAAAATCAATAGGGTTAGAAGAAATTCTAAAAGAAAATTAAAACCGTAAGTTGATCAGTTCTTTCTTTCTAGAGTTATCGTGATTACGCGTACGTACGCATAGACTAGACGAATTTTTTTATTTTTACCGACTTCAAAAAAGGAGGAGGTTCTCAAATCGTCTGAATATATTTCTTTTATGTATGTTCAGTGTTAATTCTTTAGTACGTTGTCCGATTTCTATTATTATTTTTTTTTTAAGAAAAGGGGTACCTCAGGGATGATCCCTTATACATTTGCACGTGATCTGATAATGGTATCTATAATAAAATGACCAAACTCAATTTGTAATGGCATCTGCACAATTTTGGAGTCGGTTTTTAAATATTATATTATCCAATATAACCGGAAACGTAGAGAAAAGTGTTAAAAAGCAGGAGTAAGAAAATGTTTTCGTCTATACGAATGTAATACTGAGATCAGGCCCCAGTAATTCCATTAAATAATTATCAATAATTATTAAAAAATACAAATGGCATTTAATCAAATTTTATAATCGGTTTCGGCCAATTGATTCGGAATTAAATTAATATGAAATGTATTCGTTAAAATCGAATGATAATTATTGCATGTCATTTCGTAAATTTGAAACAGTTTTTGTGACAACCCATAAATAATTTATAGTTGGATTTAAAATACGAGTGGCGGTCAGAAAATAACCCAAGTGTAAGTAAGTTTGTTGAAAAAAACAAATGATAAGTGTTTATTAAAACATTACTTATTTTGACGGAAATATTTTTGGAATAAGCATGAATGATATTTAAAAAAAAATACTTAGAACCATTAATAATTCTTGTTGTATAGATAACTTAAAACGCTAAATTGAATAAAACGAATTGAAAAAATTGGATTTTGGTAAGTATTATCAAATTAAATTTAATAATTCAGATTATGATGATAATGAGAGAGTGTTCGCCTATTATAAAACCTAATTAATTATGTTTTAGCAAGAATAAAAAATAAATTGAGACTATTATTGAATAGTTTTAAAATAGTATTATTACTCTTTTCTATTAGAATATTCGATTTTAATTAAAGATACTGCAACGAAGGATGATCAGAATAGTAAGCGAGTGCCCATTTGTACTTGCTCTATATGTATTCATCTTTTATTATCACGTCTATTTGTATTCTTTATAATAATTATAATAAAGCCACGTATCATAACAACTAATAATTCAATCTTGGTTTAATTCAGTCCAAAGATATGCCTTTGTAAACTAGCACAATGAAACGAACGGCAACAATTGAATATAGAATTTCTCAACCAAATCAACTTTCCGGAAAAGTTACGTAAGGTTTTCCCCTAGGTATTTCCCTTTAAAATCAATGATTATATACAGGGTGTCCCAACTTTTATTAGACAGACTGTAACTTTTATAATAATTATGAGAATTAAATTAAATTTAGATGGGTGCTACAATGATATGTTTACTATCTGATGAGCATATTTTCGAATATCAAGAATTTCCGGTCATACCTGAAGTGACATGAATTTTGTTATTTCCAATAACGTTTCATGTAAATGTGTCCTATACCTATTTCTAACCGTTTCTGATAATTTGGAGGTTACACTTATTATGTAGTCTACTCTGTATCACGCAATTGATAGCTAGCAAGTGGCTTAAACAAAGGTCAGTCGTTACTAATTTGAAAAATATGAATTCTCTAAAGTAAAATCTGTAACAACTAGTGCGGTTATAAAAGTGTATTTCAAGTGACTTAGAAGCAATCAAATATTCTTGGTGGTTAAGCATAACAACTAGTTGCTGAGAAAGAAATATGGGCCTTTGGATAATAAATATTTAAATATATCAAGAAATTAGAAGGTATGTTTACTTATAAGATAATCGGAACTTAT